AGCAAGACTGGAGGGAATTTTCCATTTCTTATTTCTTCACAGTCATTTCATTTAAAGATACGGTTATTCAGCTTAGAAACTTTCACAGAGTCTATATTACACCATCCAGACTATTTAAAATGGGTAAACATGACATGCCTTTTTGTCATAGAGCTGAGGCTGACTTGCTGCATATGGGTCCTTTTACACGGGTCTCATCAGTTCCATCAAACTGATGAATACGGATTCAGGTTACATCAATTTGCACATCCGTCTTTGGTTCAGTTCAGTTACATCAGTTTCACTTCAGTTAAGTTGAGTTCAGTCTACATCTGTTTTTGCACTGTTTTAGTTGTTGCAGAAACCAATCATAGGTGACAAAAGTATAAACAAAAATGGTTTCTAAAAAATGGATTTGACGAAAATGGATATCATCCCTTTACATTCATTTACATCAGTCCAGATCCATCTAAATAGATAAGGACACAATCTTTTTCTATATAAAAAAACAGATCTGAATGGACACGGATGTAGGAGGGTGTAAACGGATGATCATCTGTTTACATCTTCCCACCCATAGACATACATTTTGGTTTCAGCCGTCCATAGATGGTTCGAATCTCGGCCAGTTCAGCAGGAACCAGCCGAGATTTGAACCATGTATGAGCAGTATTGTATTAGTAGTGGTGGTAAAATCAGACCATTTTGGTTAGCAGTCACAGACTTCATGTCTGACAACTTTTCCATCCCTAATATGTCTACTACAGGAAGATGCTTATTGGGTCTTCTGGGAGAGATTGAAATGAGATGTGCTAAAAAACAGTTTACTTGCTTACTGTACCTTTATGCAAAAAAAAAGTTGGTCTTACAATGGACGAACACTGCTTCTTTACAAGTATATGACTTATGAAGTCAGAGGGTGCCCTAAGAAATTGAAAAGATAAGGGCAGTGCGGGTAGGTATTACTGTACTGACAATTTTGAACGTTAATAATCCCATTCTTATGCATTACCAAGAAGACTCTTTTTTCATTGTAACTTCATTTTGTAGCTCGACATAGCATAGCAGACAACATAACACCTAAATAACAGAAGTAAGAAATCTCACCCATTCACATATGTCCATTGATAGAGGGACCTGCCTCACCCCCTGTGAAAGCACTGTACTATCATGTTTTGCATATATTTCTCACACTGTCAACAGATGTCTTCTGTACTGACTATACCTCTGTACATGGTGGATTGCTGCAATACAAAATATCTTAGCCTCTATATTAGCCTCTATATACAATTCTTCACAGCGGCATAAAGATCTGATTTGTTTGACTACCCCCACTAACCTTTATATGAAAGATACCAGTAAATCTGTTGTTTTAAATTGTGAGCAAGTGGCAGTACTGTGTATGAATACCTACCATCAAAAAAACATGAAATGGAAAATTAAAATTTTTGATATGATGTAGGGAACATCGAAAACTGTTAAATGTGATGTTACAGTTTCCCTCATCTTCTTTTGCCTTGAATCTCTCCTCAAAATAATACCAGTGCACTAGCTGTGTTTAGGCACTCCTGTAGCCTCATAGCCATATATCTGTGTGTGATCAACTAAGGCACTGTACCTCTGACTGCTAGTCTCATAAGATTTGGAGATGTCACTACTGTGCTACTCGCTGAGCGAAATCTGTACCTGAGAACATGCAGACAAATATTTCTCTGGTTCTGTTACATCCTGTAGATCTGTGCTTTCTGCAACTCTGCCCCTTCTGCTTAGTTATTTCTCCATCACTCAACAGATCACCAGTGAATCAGGGAGGCAGCTCTGACATAAGGAAGCAGACCCCAGCTCCTTTCAACAGTGGTTCCCAACCTCAGTCTTCCAGTACCCCAACAGGCCATGTTTTGGGTATTTCCCTTAGATAAAATACCTGTCAAAACTACAGAGTCATTGATGTTTAAAGCAGCTGTGCAAGGTGAAGGAAATCCTGAAAACACAGCCTATCGGATTGACTGATCTACCAAGATAGAAGCCTTCCCACAGAGACACAGGGCAGAACAAGGCATGAAAAGTCTTTAATGGGAAAAAGATCAGTCCCTACCTTTCAAGAAGCTTACAATCTAATGTCCCTAACTTATATTCATACATATACTAGGACCAATTTAGACAGGAGCTGATGCCTAACTCCAAAGACAGCTACCAGCATGTCTTTGGAGTTAGGCATTCCATCTTCTATTTTCATCTGGAGATCCAGCCAGTAAGTCTGTTGTTTTTCAAAAGAGCAAGCTCTCTTGAAAATGTATCATCTGCAGAAAGTTTGGAAAGAATGTCAGGAAAAGAGAGGAAAGACAAGACGAGGTAGAAGAGGTAGCAAGAGACACAAAAAGAGGCAGAGTGTAAATAAGGAGTATTCTACCATCAAAATTTACGATCTGTCTCATTCAGTCTTTTCAGAAACATAACTAGATCTTCTGTGACAAAGTCTCAATTTTGCCACGCCGAGCACACCCATCCTTTTTGAACTATTTGTTGATTTTAATAAGTTCATCAAGAACCTCACCATCAAAAGATATTTTGCTCTAAAGGAAGAATTTAAGAGTAGTGATGAAACAACAGAATTAGAGTCTTCCATTGTCATTGCTAATGATGACCCAGCCTTAGAAATCCTAGAGGAACACTATCAAGAAGGGCTAATGGGGTGACCATATGGTATACCCATCAGAGGCATTAGATACAGATACTATGGTAGGCAATAAAATGATACATACCACCTTTAGACCCCCCTCTAAGTTCTTTCGCCATTTGGCTAAAGGGAACTTTATTCCTACCTTTTATGAGGTAGTGTTCAATAAGTTCAAAAATATGGTCCAGAACCTCAGCTCTTCAAGTAATAAAAAAGAAAGAAGGTTGTCAGAAGACAGGCAGACAAAGGGGGGTAGCTTAGTGATACAGAACAAGGAAAATTATGTGAATGAAGCAAGAAGGTTGTTGGGAGATAGATACATATTTAAAACTGATTAAAGATCTTACAGTGACATACACTAAAGAACTCGAACAGCTGCTAGATCTAGGCCTAAGTAACAAGGTGCTCACCAACAATGAATATTATTTTCTTTTTAGAAAACACCCAGTCACACCCCATTTTTATCACATCCCTAAGGTACATAAGAGCGTCACAAATCCACCAGGAAGACCTATTATAGCCGGCATTGATAGTCTTACTAGAAATTGGGGATGTTATATAGATTTCTTCTTACAGGATATTGTTACCAACCTTCCATCCTTCATCAGAGTCTCAAGTCATATGTTAGAAATGTTATCCTACTATCAGTGGCAACCTGGTTATAGATGGCTATCGCTAGACATGGCTTCTTTATATACAACTATAGCACATGAACATGGTCTTAGAGCCATCCAATATTACCCGATGGAAGATGGGATGTTTAATCCAGCACATAATTCACGCGTACACATAACTATTTCTCATTCTTGGGAGAATATTTTCAACAAAGCAAGGGTACTGCAATGGGGGCCAGGTTTGCTCTTAGTTATGCAAATCTCTTCATGGGATAATTTCTTCATATTGAGGAATAATTCCTATGGATAAACCTGGTCCTCTATGCCAGATATATAGATGACATCTTGATTATCTGGGACAGAACAGATAAAGAGCCCAGTGGTTTTCGCGAGTATTGTGCCAACAACCTGTATGGGATTACTTTCACCCATGTAGTAGATGAAGAAAGTGTGGTCTTTTTTTACCTGGATCTTAGAACAGACCCAGAAGAGATCATCTACTCTAAAACCCATTTTAAACCTAGTGGAGGTAATTCATACTTACACGCCATGAGTAGCCACGACCCGAGATAGATATATAACTTGCCCTATAGCCAATTTTGTACATTACGGAGAACGTGCACCAGAAAAAAAGAACTATTAGAAGCAAAGTAGCATACTGAAAAAGAAGTTCAGAGAGAGAGAGGGTATGATGATTCCCATATAGAAGATGCATACAACGAATATATGTTAAACTATGACAAGACACTATCTCCTCATTGTAAACTTACAGATAAAAGCAAACCAGTTAAACATCAGGTTAGGTTCATGACTCATATTTCTAACACTCTATGCTTCCACTGTACTTAAGCACAATATTATAGTGTCCGTTTATCCTTTAGCTTGCCATTTGGCATATTGCATTGGTACATCCCTTATATTAAGTATACTGCCCGAGAGTTAGGGTGTTCCTCTCCTCCTCTCTCCTTTTCCACACCCGGTGATCGCCGAGTATCTCCCATGGGGGAGAGACCTGTAAGTAAACAATACAGATCTCTTCCCTTTCAGCTTCTGCACACTGCTTTGTAGCAGAGCCATACAAAGCAGTGTAATTATAGTGAAACACACACACAGCCCCTATTGTGAAACAGCACTCAGTTAACCTTTTGATCACCCCAGATGTTAACCCCTTTCATGCCCAGTGCCATTAGTACAGTGTCAGTGCTTTTTATTAGCGCTGATCACTGTATTGGTGTCACTGGGGATGTCAGTGACACCAAGTCAGTTCCGCCCAGTGTCAGAATTGCCGCCGTAGTCCTGCCGCCCCGCTATAAGTTGCTGATCGCCACCATTACTAGTAAAAAAAAAAAATCCCAGTATCTATACCGCTATTTGTCAATGCTATAACTTTCACGTAAATCAATTAATTTATACGCATTGGGATTTTTTTAGCAAAGACATGTAGCAGAATACATTTTGTCCTAACTTTATGCTGAAATTTGTTTTTTAAAATTTTTTTACTGGACATGTTTAACTAGTTGCCGACCGCAGATAGCCGAATGACGGCTGCACTGCGGCCGGCCAGTTCTGGGTGGACGTCATATGACGTCCTCCCAGAACGCGCTCTCCTGCACGCCCCAGGGGGCGCGCACCCGGCGATCTCCGTGATCACGTGATGTGGTAAAAGGCCAATCACAGCGGCCTTTTACCACATGATCAGCGGTGTCCAATGACACGCTGATCACAGGGAAATGCAAGTGCCGGTTCTCGGCTGCACTTTCCTCATGCTGTCAGATCGTGAGGAAAGTACTGCCAAGAACCGACAGTTGTCAGAGCGAGGATCGGCACCGATCATCAGGGCACTGATGATCAGTGCCCTGATGATCGGTGCCCAGCAGTGCCACCCTCAAGTTCCGCCCACCTGTGCCCAGCAGTGCGCGCACTAGCTCCGCCCACCTGTGCCCAGCAGATCACCCGCCTGTGCCCAGCAGTGCACCCACCTGTGCCCAGCAGTGCACCCTTTTGTGCCACTCTGCAGTGTCACACACCTCTGCCCAGCAGTGCCACCTACCTGTGCCCAGCAGTGCCACCCCTGTGCCCACCAGTGCCACCCACCTGTGCCCACCCACCAGTGCTGCCCACCAGTGCCACCCACCAGTGCAGCCCAGCAGTGGTGCCAGTCAGTGCCACCAGTCAGTGCCCAGCGGTTGTGCCAGTCAGTGCCGCCAGTCAGTGCCCAGCAGTGATGCCAGTCAGTGCCGTCTATCAGTACCCATCATCAGTGTCACCTATCAGTGCTGCATATTAGTGCCGCCTATCCGTGACACCTCATTAGTGCTGTCTATCAGTGCCTATCACCACCTCATTAGTACTGCCTATCAGTGCCCATCAGTGCCGCCTATCAGTGCCCATCAGTGCTGCCTCATCAACGCACATCAGTGAAGGAGAAAAATTACCTGTTTGAAAAATTTTATAATGGAAACAAAGAAACTTTTTTTTTTTTCAAATTTTTTGCACTTTTTTTATTTATAGCGCAAAAAGTAAAGCGCCCAGTGGCGATTAAATACCACCAAAAGAAAGCTTTATTTGTGAGAAAAAAAATGATCAAAATTTCATATGGGTACAATGTTGCATGACCGCGCAATTGTCAATCAAAGTGCGGCAGCGCTGAAAGCTGAAAATTGGCCTGGTAGCTAAGGGGGTATAAGTGCCTGGTAGGCAAGTGGTTAATAGCAAAAAGTCAAAAACATTGGTTTTTTTTTTCTCAAAATTGTCGAATTTGTTTATAGTGCAAAAAATAAAAAACGCACAGGCGATTAAATACCACTTAAAGAAAGTTCTATTTGTGGGGAAAAAAAGGATGTAAATTTAATTTGGGTGCAGCATTGCATGACCGCACAATTGTCAAAGTAACGCAGCACCGTATCACAAAAAATGGCCTAGTCAGGAAGGGGGGTAAATCCTCTGGAGGACAAGTGGTTAATATTTAATGCATTAGATTACAAAATTGTCTGAATGACCATTTGCTGCTAGGCTCTGAGGAAGAAGGACATCCTTCGAAACGTGTCAGCCTTAAGGGACCCTGGTCCCTCCTTAGTCTAGAAGACTGTTGTATCTGGCCACGGATGTGTGGCTTGAAGTGTGCTTTTTTTTATGCTTGTGAGTAGTATTTTCCCTTTTTTACAATAAAAATCTTTAAGATAATGCACTAGGTTGGTGCGCTCTCTTTTTTTTCCTTTTCTTGTAGTGATCACGGGACATCCCCAGTCCTTGAGGCCAGCAAGACTATGTGTGATTATTTGCTTCTACACTGAATCAGGACTTATGCGTTGGAGATTTTTTGTTCTGTACGGTCGGTTGTGAAATTTGCTTACTTACATTGTGCCAAGCTGGTCCAATGAAGCTAGGCAATTAGGATCATACTTAGTATTCAGCTTTAGGTTAGGCAGACCATAGCAAAATCTTATTTTATGTGGCCAATGGTATAGCATTTATACAGCTGAATTAATAAATGATGGGCTCATTATAATATTGATTGACTATGAATTAAGGTGAAAGTGGTGTATAGAGCCTCTCATGTAAAGTACAATATTATTAGGTGTGTGGTTATTATGCAAGGCATATCAACATCATTTTAACAAACTGATGGAACATGGCAAAGCAGTGTTGTGCTTTCTATGAAAAGCTAATTTTATTCCCATGAAACACCTTCTTGCATGACATAAGCATTTAGCAGCGAGTGAGGAAATATGTCTAGTCCTGCAGGGGTTATAATGTTACTTTAACCTAGTTTTGGGGGCTGATTATGTTACTTGATCTTTTTAAATGTCTCTTTGGAATGAGAGTGCAGTAAATAAATACACTCCTTGTTCCCATTTTTGTGAGAGGGGTGGATCTATTTGCTTTATCTCTGTCTTTGACAACATGTAACAGTGCCCAGCAGTCAGCACAAAGGAGTTTTATTTTAATGTTGTTGTGTCTCTAGATAATCCTTTAATTGTTTGGTTTCCTTTTGCTACAAGTGAGTATACCCTTTCAGGATCATGTTAGAATGCAGACATTCTGAGCTTCAAAGAACAAGAAGCTGACACACATATTTCCTGTAAATGTATATGTCAAAACATATGTAATTGCAGTTTTATTTTTTGCTTTTGATTTGTTACTAACTACTTAATTGCTGAAATGTTGCAGTTCTAAACTATATATATAACTATAAATGTAAGTTGTTATAGTCTACTGAGACTCTTCACAGCTTTGAAAATTTACAGAATGCTAAAGCCTAAAAAGTTTAGCTAAACTCAAAAACATAAAAATATGCACAAAGAACACTTATCTCTTTCCCTCTGGCAGTAACGTGCCTGTCGGCTGTACTATTTTCTCGGTATGTCCATGTACGTCATGTTCCCCTACATGTGTTCCACTACACTCTGGCATATTTCTATAAAAGTGTTTCTACCTTAACCCCTTGGCGACGGTGGCTCCTGACTCTTTAAGGGGTTTGCAACACTGGGAGGCAGGGCTGGGTTTAGAGTCACGTGACCGCCGTGATTGGCTGTCACGGCAGTCACATGATCAGAAAGCTCTCAATGGCAAGTAGCAATCAAGACCTTTCCGTAAACGTGCTGGTAAATGTGCTGGGAGCACTCAGGGTGTGCTCTCTCTACACATCTTTTGTTTACATTGGGTACGCAAATATGCGGTACCGTGGAACCAAGGCCCAGCCGTTACGAGGCCACATATTTGCGCACGCTCAGCGCCAAGGAGTTAAGATTTTGGTTATTACAATTAACGTGGTGGAAATAGGTGCATCTGGCTGTTTTGGGGTGATAATTTTTGTGTGTATACATATATCCTTTTATCACTGTTGTCTGTCACTAAGAATGTGATGTCATGTCATACTTTTCTGTTCTGTTACATACGCTTAGATACAGAATTAAAAGAAAAAAATCTGCACTATGGACATCATTTACAGTTAGTATGATGTGTCCCTTGTGCTGATTCTTCTTCTTTTAGTTGAAATCTTCCTCTCTTCTTCTCCAGATCCCCCAATCCCACTACCGCCACTTTAATCTCCTGGTGCGACAGGGGTTAATACAACTAAAGGGCTGTCAGGAGCTCTCATCCGGAGAGCTTGACTGTAACTGCCATTTCCTGCTAGATCTGCCATTCACAGGAGCTATAAGTCATCCGCTGTTCCTCGTGCCAAGATCCTTTGCCATTCAAAGAAGCTGTAGTGAATCTATGAATGGCAGATCTGCCAGAAAGGCTGGGCATAGTCAAACTCTCTTCATGAGAAGCCCTGACAGCCCTTTAATTGTATTAACCCCCGCAGCACCAGAAGATTACGGCAGAGGTTTGGGTGGTGTGGGGGACAGGATGGAGGAAGATTTTTCTTAGGAGAAGAAGAATCAGCACAAGAGACACCGCATGATAACTGTAAATTATGACCCTTGTGCTGATTTTATGTTTTTGATTTGAGATAATCTTAGGCTTTAACATCAGCTCTCCTCCACCTCTTTCTTTGACTCGGAAGGCGACGTGTATGACGTCACTTCCAGGTCACGGCTGTCACTTTCTCCGACTAGAATAGCCGGGGATACAAGTATTCAAATGCGATCTGCATTGCAATACATCTAGTGCAGACCAGAGGAGACATCCAGGGTCTTTAAAATGTCACCTAAAAAAAAATGTTTTTGTTTATTGCAAAAAAATAATTTTTTTCCCCACAAGCACATAACATCCCCCCCCCCCAAAAAAAAACTTTCCTCCAGTTAGTTTAGGCTCATGTCCCCCGTGTTCTTGATTTTGGTTTCTTGTTGAAAATCCTGCCCTCCTGAAACTTATTCACCCCCTTGATGTATTTTAAGGTTTCAGTCATGTCTCCCCTTTCCCTTCTTTCCTCCAGACTGTACATGTTAAGTTCCTGAATTCGCGCTTCATATGTTTTATCCCCCAGACCTTTCACAATTTTTGTTACCTGTCTCTGGACTCATTCTATCTTATCAATATCTTTTTGTAAGTGAGGTCTCCAAAACTGGACACCGTATTCTAGATGAGGTCTAACTAAAGATCTATATAGGGGAATCAGGACCTCCTTCCTCCTGCTGGTGACCCCTCTGATGAAATTTTTTATGATAAAGTCTGTGATTGCCTTGCACAGATAAAGCAAAACCTACATTGTTAATGTTAAATATACCACGCATTACAAAATTATATTAAAAGGAAACAATAGAGAGGGAAGATTTTCATTTTTTGGCATACTGAGCATCATAGCAAACTGTTCACGTTGATCCCTTTTATGTGCTGGACACTTGTGCCATATAACCCCCATGCTGCACCATTCTGCTTAGCATTCTGCATAGATATTAACATCCTTGTCCTTATGCAGCTTCTGAATTAGACAGCTGAGAAAGTGGTTGTATTGAAATGCAGGTAAAGTACGCAGCCAAAACCACAGACCTTCATCTTTTTCATCTTTTACATGCTGCCGTTCAATAACCGTTGTGGTGCTGTCATTGTCGCCAACAGGTTAATATCTTAGTTTCAGAAAGATTTATGGTTATGCAAGCCCGAGATCTGATACATGTTTAAACAAAAGTGGGCTGGAAGTCTCAGTTATTTGTATGAGCCTGCCAGCAAACTGATTGATATTCTCCAAGCTCAACTCTTAAAACAACAAAATGTAAAATTAGTAGAGTGCAAACAATGTTGTCATTGCATTAGATATATGTAAAACAAATGATTGAGCAGGACCTGAAGCTTAACTGCACACTTCCTCCAGCTGTCTGCAACTGCAACTTGGAAAAATCATTGCTATTATGGATGGAATATAGTCTTAGCCTTAAGTCAATCTCTTAAAACCTGCTAGTTTAACTGTTTACTAAGGGCAGTATTTGGTTTAGCAAAATAAAACTAATAACTGAAAGACAATGTGTAGACTTTGATCACTGGACTCCATTTTTGTTTACTTATTATGACAAACCGGGGCCCAGTTTAATACTGAACTTTGTTCAAATCTCTGTGTTATTTCTGTGGGGAAAATAGTAAGAGTGAATTGTGAACACATTTATCACAATAATAAGATTGTACGCCCTCAATATCGTGTGTGTGGGGGGGACAGGTG